AATGATCTCACCGTTTTCTACTCTGTGCTGAAAGCGGATAGCAAAGATTATATAAACTGATCAGACTCGGAGTTTTAGTAAACCAAGGCTGTTGCAGCAAGCTCATTTCAACCTTTCCTGCTGCTTATAGAGTGGATGATTTCAATTACCAGCGGAGAAGGCTGAAATTGAATAAACCTCTGTATGCTGTGGCAGCAAAGGCTTGACCGGCTTGCATAGTCTTAAGGGCCAGGCTGTATGACAGGTCACTCTTCTTGAGGGGCTGTAACTATAATTTATTTATTTAGGGGGGAAAAACAGTTATGTTGCCTCTTTAAGAACCAGCCCAACCTGACTTACAAAATAAAAGCAATAAAAAACTAAAACATTAAAAGGGCATTAATTTAAAAAGCCCCAGCTCAGCATACCATCATAGACCACAGAAAGCTTAAAATACCAGTTTCCAGGCTAGAATAGTGCTTTACAAATCAACAGTGTGGTGTTAAGAGTGTCAGGCTAGTACCTGGGAGACCTGGGTTTGAATCCCCACTTGTGCCATGGAAGATTTCTGGGTGACCTTGGGCCAGACCCATTCTCTCAGCCTAACCTACCTCACAGGGTTGTTGTGAGGATAAAATGGAGGAGAACAATGTAAGCCACTTTAGGTCCCCATGAAGAGAAAGGTGGGGTACAAATGAATTAAACAAACAAACAATACTCTGAATGAACAGGAAAATTTTCCCCTAGAGCCTGAAACAAAGCCACATAGGCACCAGCTGAGCCTCAAGGAAAAGGGCATTACATATATCAGGTGTCACTACTGAAAAAGCCCTGTCTCTGTTTGCCAGGGAAAAGATCTTGGGGTTGTAGTGAATAGCTCAATGAAAATGTCACCCAGCCGGCTGCATGAGGAGGAGTGGGGAATCATACCCAGTTCTCCATGAAGATGGGCATGCGATCAAGAGAAGTCAAGGCCCTAGCAAAAGCTACTAGGAAGTTAAGCTTCATGGCCAGACCAGTACAAGAAACTGTGCTAAATAGGGGTTGGAACGTATGGAGAAATGAACAGATTTAGAGACCAGTGGCACCTTTAAGCATTCCATTGCTCAAAGGAAGCATTGGAAGCATTCCGATGTATTTGAAAAAGTGTGCATGCACACAAAAGCTCATACCTTGATTAAAACTTTGTTGGTCTTAAAAGTGCCACTGGACACTAAACTTGTTCTACTGCTTCCGAACAACATGGCTGACCACCTGGAACTATCTCTATGGGAAAATGGATTGTCATGGAGCCAAGAGAGTCTCAAGTCCAGAGAAAATAGACCCCTTTGGAAGTGCTGATTGATGAATCCCAAACCACCCAGAAACCCCAGACTGGGTTCCAAACTACCACTCCTCATCTACATGAGATGTTACCAACCTAGCCAATGAAGTATGAGCTCTGAAAAGGCCTGATCATTATCTCTCAGCTAAGAGTTAGAATACGGCTTACTGCCCAAGGGAAAAGACTACAGTCCTACCCTACCCTACCTTACCCACAGGCCTATGACACAAGGGCCTTCCATATTTTCATACTGGTCCTTTGCATTCTCACCTTTTCCCAAGTCACACTTCCTTCCTTGATAGCTTTGCCTACATGTCACAATGAGCATCAATATGAAATCAGGTATCCTGTGTCCATGTGTTGCCCTGTAAGGCGCTTATTAGTGCTATTAAGACTTGGACTGTGCCAGTAGTGTGCAGAAAGGGACTGAACTGTGTAGTGATCCAAAGATGATGCCAATTACACACACACAGAAGAAGGAAGCCTTCCTGTGAGATGATGTACATATGGTTTCAAAAGTTACCTACCCTCTTACCCGCTGTAAGATGGACCAGTTCCCTAGCCACATGAAGCACTGAAAGCCAGCCATGCCAAGGCAGAAGACCTGAACACAAAGGATTCAAACTCCATGCTGAGTTTCCCTCTCTGCATGCAGGCAACATCCCCTTCCCCCCCCATCCAGCCACACCTAGCTGAAACAGCCGCCATAAGACAATCAAGGAATGTCCATGACAATGACTCTGGCGGCATGAGTCATCATCCTTCCAGGTGCTTCTGACTTACCCAGGATTACTAGATCTGAATATTGACCACCCCCTTTAGACCCTTCCCCCTTGACCCCAGGTCCACCCAGTGTATTTTTGGGGATGGACTGATAGGAGGTGTGCCAGGGTATGTGGCTAGCCTAGCCCCCCCATGCAACCTCATAAAAGAGGGCAACCTGCCATGCTCGCTCTCTTTCTCTTTCTCTCTCCTATACCCACCCTAACTCCATGACTCTCAGTTGTGCAGCCAGAGTCTCCACATGTTGCCGCCAGTTCAGGACACGACCCCCATAACCCCATAATCTCCCTTTCCCCCCCTAAGGGTCGCTTCATCTCGCCAAGGACAGGCAAAGTATTGCCCCTCAACAATTATCCCGCTAATGCGAATTTGCTATCATTTTCTCTCTAATTTTCCTAGATCTGTATAATTGAAAGTGTGTTTGAATTATTATATGCTTGTGAAATATCTTCAGTAAATGAAAGAATTTTATAGTGAAGCCAGCCTTGAATCTATTTCTGGTGCATCTGGAAGGAGCGGGACCCCTGTATACATAGGTGATTGCTCCCTTATTTGCCCATTGCCTCTCTTAATATCATAATTCCCCTAAAATCAATACGAATTTGAGGCAATCCAGCTAACACATGCACTGCCTCTAACCGCCAGAGCAAACATGAGTTAATAGATAAAAGTCTACCTATCTTTCTTCTTAAGCATCCTTCACTAATCATTAATTGCTCCTCATTTCATAGTCTTAAACTGATAGTTTGCTTACTCCAGAGGGGTAGCTGTCTTAGTTGGTTGCAGCAAAGACAGTAGCACTTTAAAAGTGGGGACCCAGTCAGGGTTGTCTAGATGGTTTGGGATTCTTCAGTCTGTACCTCAACCCAATGGGTCTGTTTTCTCTAGACGCGTGACTTTCCTGGCTCCATCACAAGGGGTAATTGTTTTCCCCCTCCCCGTATCTTTAAAATGCTGTAAGAAATCTCTTTATTTTTTATTTGATGCACATTAATGAGTAGAAGGCTAGCACATGGAAAGAAGAGTAACAGAGGTAGAAGAAAACAATCTTGAAATAGCCCCCCCCAAAAAATATGTTGGTTTACTCTTGCATACCACATAATAAGGAAATGAATGTAGATATCACCTGGTGACATCTCCAAAGGAGCCACTAGTCAGCACTATGGAGCAAAGCCTATCTTGAAATGGGGGTAGGCACTTGGAAGCGACTTCTCTGTCCCTTCAGTTTGGAGCTGGCTAACTCTGCGTTGTTGGATCAAGAAACCGAATAATCTAAGTTCTGTGTACCTTAACTATGCAATGGACACACACACACACACACACACAGAGAGAGAGAGAGAGAGAGAGAGAGAGAGAGAGAGAGAGAGAGAGAGATGCATGTTTCTGGATACATTTATGTACAGCAGAACATCCCAGTTTACAACTCTCATGCTTTGGACATTATTCCACAGTCCTGAAAGGGTTAAGAGCCTTGCCTGTTCCTATTCCCTTAATGGTTGCATTGGCCTTTTGGGTCAATATTTAAACACAGACTCAGGCAAATATATTTTCTGCAGTCATTCGAAGGATAGAAATGTTTCCTTGGGACAAGCCATCCTGTTTCCTGATTCTTCACATCCCTCCTCCACCCACAACCCCGCATCACTTAAAAGTTACTCCTGAGACATGGGGAGGGCTCCTGTGCTCGTGTAAACTGGAGAGGCTGATGGTTGTGCACGGAGAGGGTTGGGCATGCTTCGGTATGCTGTGACGCTGGGGGGGGGGAGATTGTGGTAAAGAGGGGGGGGGGACTCCGCTTCTGCGAAGGATCTTGGCAAATGAGCTGAGCCGCACAGTCTCGGAGCCAGTTGGGAGGACGCGCGCCTGCCCTCCCTAGCCGAGCGCGTCTGCTTAGATTCCTGCAGGACACGAACGGGAAAGGGTCGCGGTGGAAAGAATCATGGCTACGTCAAACGTTTTTATTTCTTCCTGATCTCTCTCTCTCTCTCATCAATAATTCACCTTAGGGCTTCCCCCCCTCTCTTCTCCTCCTGGATGTGGAGGGGGGGTTGGACGGCAAAGGACGGGGCGCAGGGAAGTGCCGGTTTCGTCTCGGAGGTGTTTGGGAGGGTGTTTTTCAAGCGCTCTTGAAAGGACCACGGCAACCACAAGCACCAAAAAGAAGCAAGGGGGAGAGCGGACTTCCCCCCCGGAATTGCTGGAAGTGTGCAAGGGAAGCTACCGCTGCTGATGCGCTGGTAGTGGGGTGTGTGTGCGAGAGAGTGTGTGTGTATTTTCCCTCCCCTCCTCTCCCCGCTGCTGGTAGGGCTGCTCTCGCTGGCTTTGTGGTGGTTGTGCAAGTGTGGAGAAGAGGCGTCGGGGGCAACGCTCCGAGCCAGGCTTCGCTGTCCGCCCCTCGGTGCTGAACATGGGCGCTTCAAGCAGGGCGCTGTCCATGGTTCCGACCGTCCTCCTGGCTTTGGCTCTTCCCGCTTTCCCGGTCTGGGCGCAGAACGACACGGAGCCCATCGTGCTGGAAGGGAAATGTTTGGTAGTTTGCGATTCCAACCCGGCTACCGACTCCAAGGGCTCGTCGTCTTCTCCTCTGGGGATCTCCGTACGGGCTGCTAATTCCAAGGTTGCCTTTTCGGCGGTCAGGAGTACCAACCACGAACCTTCCGAGATGAGCAACAAAACCAGGATAATCTACTTCGATCAGGTAAAAAGAGAGAGAAAAAAAGGATGGCAAGAAATAAATACTCCTGGTTGTTACAAAGAGAAAAAGAAAGACACGGGGGGGTTCTTTTGTGTGGGGCCCTTTAAGAAGCAGATTAAAAAAGAGAGAGAGAGAAAATGGGTTTAGGGACCTAATTTTGTCTAAGTGAGGAGCATTTTTTTTAAAAAATGCAAGTCTCTCTTGACAATCGGACGAGATTAGCGGGGTATGTGGGTGTTCGGAGGGGACGGCATTTGCTCCTTAAACTGAGAAGAGATGGGTACAGTGAGAAGAGGTGGCGACTGGCGATCAACAGGTGGGAGTCGATCTGTGAACTCTTCACAATGCTCCATGGAAAACGAAGGGCTGAAACTTACAAAGGGATGGGGAAGACTCAGGAGCAATCGACTCCTCTCCTCCTACAGCCAATAGTCTTTCCGCCCTTGTCCAATGAAGTTATAACCATTTCACTGAACTGAGCCAGGCTGCGTTTACATATTTGGAGTCTGTTGGCTGAATTAATCATAAGGTTGTAACAGGGCTGTCTTGAACAAAAGTTTAACTACTTTTACGATTTATTGATTTTGATGTATATTCTGCTATATACCGAGGGCTCTCGGTGAATCATGTTAGCACCTACAATTGAACATTCACAATCGGAAGTACTTGTCACTTAAAAGCTCACATTCCCATGATTTTATTTAAGAATATGTCTCTGCATGGTACGGCTGATGAATGAAGACCAGACGGGTCCCTAACACAGCCAGTTTTAAGGTAATTGTAAGTTATCTGAAGGAAGGGCAGAATACAGAGGTCACACTGTTTCTGCCTGCACTCTAGAAGCCAGATCACATACAAAGAGGCTTACTTGGGAGTAAATATGCACTGGACCACAGCTGTATAGTGTGCATGACTTTGGATCTGAAGGACATGTATGGGAGAAAAATGCTTTTTTTGTAAGGTTCTGAGAGTGGCAAGGGAGGCATGATGAAAACTTCCAAAGATTCCTCAGCAGATTCCTGTTTGATTCACACCTGAGTCTCCCAGCACTGCCAACCTTTTATCACTTTGTAAGGTGTCAGAATCTCTAAGTGGAATTTAGATGCAGCTTGCAACCCACAAAATGATTTTTTTCTGAAACAATCGCAGTGGGAAGAATACAGTACTCCTCCAGACTGGAAGCAGATATTTGCAGTCAAACAGAGTCAGGTCACCCTGCAAGACATACATGGGCAGTCCTTCGTACGATTCACCACACCTTAGTTGAATCACTGAAGAATATAGCATTATTGGGAAGGCTTCTCACACACTCCTTTCCATTCCATCCCAGTCCTAGCAAAACCCCAACTTTTTTAAAAAAATTCAACTATAAGACCAGTCTATACTGAAGAGACATATTTATTCATTCTTTCTACAATGTAAAAGATTGGGATGCCAGTTTAAGTCATTTAGCACATCTGTCTTATGACCCACAGAAGTATTATACTTCAGAATACTTCAAAAATCTATTTACTTCTAACGGAGAGTTACGTATGTGCTTGTATCTCTCCCAGTGAAAACAATGCAATTTAAAAGGTCTTGATTTTGGCTCGATGATACTCAAATAAAGAGGACAGAGAGAGAGAGGAGAGTTGCAATTGTGTTATGTCAGCTGCAGCTTGAAATGCATGCCTCTTCTTGGGAATTGTCTAATATTCTCCTATCAGCTATTTCCTTGTTCAACCTCTTCTCATTATGTACACTAGCTGGTGGAGGAGCGTGCCTTTGCAAATATTAGCCCAATGGTCTAATTAAGCCCCCGAAAGTTTCTCTTCCTGGGCATATTCTCAGAGAGACAGAGAGAGTGATGGATCTTCAGCCTTTCCCATGACTACAAAGAGGTCTCAGAATATTGTAGTTTACTCAGTCACAGTGTCATTAACCTTTTCAAGGGACTTGGAGACAGGTGGATGTGAAAGAGGCTTAGGTACGGGCCAAATATCAGACAGCTGCTTGTCTCAATGGAGAGGAAGAAGACAAGCCATGGAAATTTTTTTTGGTCCAGGCTTAGGGGATAAGCCTTGAATTTTAAGTGGTTCCCCCCACAATTGTATTTCCTAAGTACCATATAATTAATTACTCATCTTCCGGCCATGTTCTTGAGTTCCTGCTTGCTTATGAGAAATGACCTATTCACCTACACTCATATTTCACTCTCAAGACTTCATGCTCATTCCAATCGAGACTAGAGAAGAAGCCAACATATGTCGCTTGTTGTATGGAAAGATAGTTATTGCTCTCCCCCCCTCCATTGCTCAGCTCCAAAACCAGACTGATTTGGAAAGAAGCTGTATTGATTTTAAGTCAAAGTTGCAAATGCTAACCAAGTGAGCTTGTATGTAATTTTGACTGAGGTCATGCAAATGCATTTGGAAGTGAGGTGTAATGGGGTGAATTTACATAGTACTGCTAATGGCAGGGCATGGAAAAGGTACATGTGATGCCTTCCAAGAATGATCAAGGTGAAATCCTATTTCCTTTTGACTTTTGTAGAAGAAGCTATATGATAAAGTTGCTTTATATTATGGGCTATTTATTAAATTGCTATATTATGGACTATTTAGTTTAATAGGGTCTATCCACACCGGCAGCAACTTTCAAGGCAAGTGCCTTTCTCAGTCCTTCTGGAAAAACCCATATGGACTAAAAGAAGCATATGTGTGCATCATTAGCATTCCTTCCATGCACTTTGTATGTAGAAGGTATCTGGCTCAGTGATAGAGCATCTGCTTGGTTTGCAGAAGGTCCCAGGTTCAGTCCCTGGCATCTTCAGTTCAAGGATTAGGTAGCAGGTGATGTGAAAGACCTCCACTTGAGACCCTGGAGAGCCACTGCCAGTCTGAGTAGACAATACTGATTTTAATGGACTGATGGTCTGATTTAGTATAAGACAGCTTCAGGTGCATGTGTTCAAATGCTTAAAATAAAAGATGGAGGAGACAGCCAAGGGAAACAAGAAGGAAATGAATGTGGAAAAGCTCATCTATGTATATTTAGGCTTCGTTTCAGTTAAGGATGAAGTTCATAGAGTAGTCCTAAAAAAAGTTACATCCTTCTAAGACCAGTGAATTCAATGGAAGGGTGTAACTGTGCTTAGAATGGCACTGTAAGCCATATGTTTCTTAGGCAAAGTGGGTTTGGGGGAAGACTTTGTTTTAAGAGACCGAGGTGGCCCTGGAAGTGAATTTCAGGAATCTTCATTACTAAACTCTGGTTTGGCCCATGAGTGGCTTAATCACCAGTGCCCAAGAATGTTCAACTTGATGACCAGGGTTATTTTCATTGCTCCCTTACTTAGTTCCCATATTAAGTGACCTACCGTGCAATCCTAAGCAGAGTTGGTGAGTGCTGTCAAGTCATAGCCGAGTGATAGTGACCCCGTAGGGGTTTCAAGGCAAGAGGTGATCAGAGGTGGTTTGTCATTGCCTGCCTCTGTGTAGTGACCCTGGACTTCCTTGGTGGTCTCCCATCCAAGTACTGACCACTGCTGACCCTGATTAGCTTCCGGGGTCTGAGGAGATTGGGTTAGCCTGGGCCATCCAAGTCAGGGCAAACAGAGTTACACCCGTCTAAGTCCATTGACTTCATTGGGTTTAGAAGAGTATAACTCCCTGTAGGATCGCACTGTCAGAGGGTGTAACTCTGCTCAGGATTGCACTGATGGTCTTGAATCCTATGCACACTTACTCAGGAGTACACATAAGTGAATATTGTGGGATTTACTTTTTTGGTTTTCATGGTCAACAGCTCTAATAACTACCTGCTCCCCTACCTGCTTCCATCCCCCTCCCCCATTTCTAATATAAATTGGGGGGCTAGAATTGGATTATGGCACCATGTGGGGGTTTCAATTTAATCTATAGATTTATATTTTAAACTGTTTATTGCATTTTATATGTTTTATAAAGCTATGTTGTGAACTGCCCGGAACCCCCCTTGTGGGAAGGGCGGTATAAAAATCTAATAAAATAAATAGTAAATATATGGAGAGTAGTGAAGCTTTCTTCAAACAAGAACACTTTAAAAGACTTGCATGCAACTGGAGATGCATCTATTACATCTTTATCACACTTTCTTCAAGGTGGTCAAGGATATATGCATGGTTTTCCTGCTTCATTTTTATCCTCCTAACAAATCTATGAGACAAATTAAGTTGAGAGAGTGGCCTGGTCTGGCCAATATTAGGCCCATGTTCTAGCCGCTACACCACCCTGATGGTCTGTGCATGTCATTCATGTCTTCATTTCAATCACATTTCTTTTCTGTTTTTTTGCAAAGTCGAGCTTTTCTTTAGAAATATGTTTTAAATTAGAGATAATGCTGAGGAGTGGGTGGTATAGAGAGATAACACAGACAGACCTATGGCTCAGTTATGAACATATGAAGTTAAAAGCTGAGGATGAGGTCTGCTCCATAGCATTATCACAAAACAGAAGGACTGAAGCAGATATTTATTTAGCAGATAACTGCCTATGGTGTAAGTGCGATATCCTGATGCCCTTGAAGCCAATGTTCAAACTTGCCTTGATTTTAATGGACCTGGGTTGTAATAACCATGACTGAAATGTTCACAGGCCTTCTAGATCTGACTCAATCCCAGTATTCGGAATGATATCATTTACGCAGATACTGTTTAGTCATGACGAGACACAATGATCTGGATTAAGAGATAGCTTTTTGAGTGGCAGTTATGTGCGAGTGAACTTTGAGAAAGACATAGGCTGCCAAATGTTAGTATAATCCATAAACAGGTTGCTTGAAGTATTTGAAGGAATATGAATACTTTGACCTAATATAACAACTGTGCTTGGAGCTGCACTGAGGACCCTAGAAGTCAACTGGGATTACCCCAATAAAACTCCCATGGCCTAAAGGCAAAACAACTTGCATGTGTAGGTTCTTGACCACTAGCTATGAAAATTGGGGGGGGGGAGAGCTAATCCTGAGGAGGGGCTATGGCTCAGTGATAGAGCTTCTGTTTGGCATGCAGACGGTTCCAGGTTCAATCCCTGGTACCTCCAGCTAAAAGGACCAGGTGGTAGGTGATGTGAAAAACCTCCACCTGAGCCGCAGGACAGCCACTGCCAGTCTGAGTAGACAATACTGACACTGATTGTCTGCTTCAGTATAAGATAGCTTCATGTGTGCTCATGTGTGCTGTGGAAACAAATAAAAGCACTTTGTACTTGGAGAATTCTCTCTGTCTGAGTAGGCAATACTGACCTTGATTTGTCTGCTTCAGTATAAGATAGCTTCATGTGTGCTCATGTGTGCTGTGGAAACAAATAAAAGCACTTTGTACTTGGAGAATTCTCTTAGCTATAGGAAAACATAATTTCAAGTCCAGTAACACCTTAAACACCAACAAAATATTCCAGGGTATGCAAGCTTTTGTAAGTCAAAGCTTACCCAAAGAGTCATTAACATGTGGAATTCACTGCCACAGGAAGTGGTGGCAGCTACAAGCACAGACACCTTCAAGAAGGTGTTGGATAAACATAGGGAGCAGAGGCCCATCCGTGGCTATTAGTCACAAGGTAGAGAGGGAACACTGTTTCTGGGGCAGTGATGCTCTGTATTCTTGTTGCTTGGAGGGGCAACAGTGGGAGGGCTTCTGTAGTTCTGGCCCCGCTGGTGGACCTCCTGATGGCAGCTGGGTTTTGGCCACTGTGTGACACAGAATGTTGGACTGGATGGGCTGTTGGCCTGATCCAACATGGCCTCTCTTCTGTTCTTCTGTTCACTTTGTCAGATACAAGTAAGAACAAAGATCCATCAGCCTTTATATTCTGGTCAGAAGGTGGGACAGGTGTTACAAACAAGGGCCAGTTGAAACCAGGATGCAGAGACAACACAAAATGGGTATAGCAGTAAAGAGTAAAGAAGGGTGAACTGGACGGGCTGGAAAGCTTGATGGCAAATCTGGGTTTGCCTCTGCAGAGTGTGCAAAATAGCCATGAATCACAGATGGTTGCTCAAGATAGATAGGCAGGCAGGCAGGCAGGCAGACAGACAGACAGACACAGACAGACAGGTCGATAAGTGTTAACTGATGTGTGATTCTTGTAGGAAGGGGGAAGGTTACAGACAGACAGACAGACAGACAGACTTAGTGTTAACTGATGTGTGATTCTTGTACTTCGTGTTAGGAAGGGGGAAGGTTTGAAATTATACTGCAAGTGGATCCAGAAAATTAGAGTATGTTCAGAAATGAGTTCCTCTTCAAACAAAAATTGAGAACCACTAGTCTCAGAGCATGCGAAGGAAAACAATGGGAGTGAACATTCCCTAATCAATGGAGAACCCAAACATGATGAGTTTCAAAGTCAGAGTAAATACTGTGAAATATCAACTCACAGGAGAAGTGATAAATGTACGAAGCTCCCAGCCACAGAACACAGTGATGGTCACTTGTTTATTTGGTTTCAAAGGGAATTAGATATATCCATGGAGGACAAACCTATCAATGTGTATTAGCCATGATGATTAAATGGAACCTCCATACTCAGAAGCGCTACAATTCTTCAAAAACAAGGGAGAGCTATTACCCTGCTTTTAAGTTTCCAAGGAGTATCTGGTTGGTTACAGTGGGAGAAACCATGCTGGGCTGACTGGACCTTTGGTATGATCCAGTATTTCAGGCCAACTTTTAAAAATGTCTTATTTAACATTGAATATGATCTTCATTAATTAAACATTATTTTTCTTTGGACTGCACCTATTTGTTACAAGTCCACCCAAATGGGTGGGTGCACTTTTGTTTTGTATTTTTTTCTATCTATGGAAAAGCCAAGAAACATGTCAGCAAGAGTCACTAGAGGACCTTACGTGTCTATCACTGGCTGTGCTCCCAGGTTTGGATCTAGCAATGCATAAGCGGAAATGTAAACAGCACACTTCGGCTTGTGCAGGATCTTGTGCAATGCCCATAACTTAGTACAAGGGGCTAGTGTGAGGGGTTTTTCCCCATGCACTCCCACTTGCGCAAGGACCCTAGTGCATGTAGAAATCTTCCAGTTAATCCAGGCCATGGTCCTCTCAGTGGCAATCATTCAACTTGATCCAGAATTCTATGTAGGCTCCAACATGTTCATGATGTACCTGCCAGATATGGGTTTCCGGCTGACTTCAGTGGGTGGGAATTTACATTGCTTAGTGCACCCTAGAGAACATCTTTGAAGTCAGGGAACTTGGAGTAAGCATCAGAATTCCTGTGCCCATGCGAAACCACTGATTCAGAAACATCATATGACAATCAGTTTCCACTGAAGTAACACATACTTATAAGGCATGTACCTCTGAGTGTGTCTGCTCCCCACCCATACAATGTCACAAATGCATTGCTTTTTATGAGTATAAATATTTGCAGACATAGTTTGGTGTAGTGGCTAAGTGTGCATTCGGTGTAATAGTTAAGTGTGCAGACTCTAATTGGGGAGAACTGGGTTTGATTCCCCATTCCTCCACATGCAGCTACTGGATGGCCTTGGGCAAGCCATAGTTCTCTCAGGGCTGTTCTTTCAAGAGCAGTTATCTGAGCATTTCTCTGAGAGCTCTCTCAGCCCCACCTACTTCACAGGGTGTCTATTGTGGGGAGAGGAAGGGAAGGAGATTGTAAGCCTCTCTGACACTTTGAGTGAAGGGCGGGGTATAAATCCAATCTCTTCTCTTTTTTTCTTCAAAGAAATGCTCATATAGGATTAAAGAAAAGATATGGAAAGACTGTGGGAATCAAGCACACTTGTGTGAGGCACAGTAGAAGAAGAAGGAGAAGAGATTGGATTTATACCCCGCCCTTCACTTGGAGTCTCAGAGTGGCTTACAAACTCCTTTCCCTTCCCCTCCCCACAACAGACACCCTGTGAGGTGGGTGGGGCTGAGAGAACTCTGACACAAACTGCTCTTTTTCAAGGACGGCTGTGCCAGAGCTTGTGACTCACCCAAGGTCACATCAGCAGGCGCAAGTGGAGGAGTGGGGAATCAAACCGGGTTCTCCCAGATTAGAGTCCGCACACTTAACCACTACACCAAACTGGCTCACAAGTGCACAAATGCTTCATAGTCGGTGTGAGCACAGCCCTGTGCCCGACTGCAGATTCAGCATTTATCATAGCATGGGGTGGGGACAGTGGATAGAGGGAGCTTTTTCTCCATCTCTCATAATATTAGAACTTGGGGACACCCAATGAAGTTGATGGACAATAAATATACGGCAGATAAAAGAAACACTTCTTTATTGAGTGTGTTATGAAACTGTGGGATTCACTACCGGTGGAGGTAGTAATGGCCCTGAGCAGAGATGGCTTTAAAAGGGAGTTAGATTCATGGAGGAAAGGTCCATCCATGGTTACTTGTCCTGGTGAGTAAAGGGAGCCTTCATATTCACAGAGAGTAAACTTTTGAAAGCCAGTGCTAGCAGACAACATCAGGGGAAGGCCTTGGCCTCTGCACCTGGGTTGTTCCTCCTCCAGGGCAACTGTTTGGCTATTGTGTGAAACACAGTGCTGGAATGGATGGGTCACTGTTCTGATGCACAGGCCTCATCTTCTGAACTGTATCTATGTTCTCCTGAGTCACTGCTGACTTCTTCAGATAGTGAGCAGTGACTCAAGCAAGCTCATATTCCTGCCACAAATTTTGTTACTCTTTAAGGTGCTATTGGACTCTTGCTCTTTTCAACTGCTACAGACAGACTAACACAGCTGGGTAGCTGTGTTCTCCAAAGATCAATCTTATGTTCTCCAAAGATCAAGATGTCTGCCCATCTGGGGATTGGTTGGCATTTGAGGTCACGGTTTTGAGGCATTGCAAGTCCCAGTCTTAAATATATGCACTGGGCACTAGCTAGTATATCTCCTCCCTGCAGTGACCAACATATTCTAACATCATACCTTTGTGCTGCCAGTGTGTTCTCAATGCAGCTGTTGGGTTTCAGGATGTTCTCACTGTATTTGAGTGGCTGCTTGGGTAGCACTTACGTCCTTGGAGACCTTGGATTGTGGTGCTGAAAATGCACATTAAACACACTGACTTCTATAGGAATCCTAGCAATCTTAAAACCAATGGAACAAGGAGGCTTGTTAGAAGTACTTACAAAGCAGTTGCAACCTGATCCTAGGCATGCATACTCAGAAATAAGTCCAGCTGACGCTTTCTCCAAAATAAATCTGCATAGAATTTCAGCATTAGAAAGCAATTTCTGGGAAGTTATATCTGGCTGAAAATAAATCCTTTCTTATGTAGGCAAATAATAATTTAATGTGCAATATATTAATATAAACAAATATTGGAATGAAATAAGGAACCAAGCTCAAATTCAGTCAAGTATAGCCATGGTAATGAATCTTGCATCTATAGTAAACTAATTACATTCTTTTCCAGCACACTGAATGCTTGCATTAATTCTTGTGTTTTTTCCCTTTTAATTTGTAGATCCTAGTAAACGTGGGGAATTTCTTTACGTTGGAGTCTGTCTTCGTAGCACCAAGAAAAGGAATTTACAGTTTTAATTTCCATGTAATTAAAGTCTATCAGAGCCAAACAATCCAGGTATGTTGATACAAAAATTCATGGGAATGCTAATATTTCCTTGCTTCCCCCCCCCCCCCCCCCCCCCCCTCCCCGACCAATCTTAATTGGATGGTGTCTGAAACAGAACTTTTGTATATAGAAACTGTTCAGGTGAAATGGTTTGGGGATCTTAGGAATCATGTTAACTATCTTAGGAAATACCTTGATAAGAAAGAACAGGACTCCATGGAGCTCAGCTTGGCCAATGCAAATGGATTTTAGTGAATGTTTGAAATAACCGTGTAACAGCATTTTATCAGCATTTCTGGAGGCAATTCAAACAAAAAGAAATCTTGCCTTCTAGGTTTATACAGCCCTCTTTTGTGACTCTCTTAGAAGTTTGCAATCAGTGCTTAGGAGCACTTTTTAAGTTCTGTTGACAATGTCTTCTTCTTCTTCTTCTTCTTCTTCTTCTTCTTCTTCTTCTTCTTCTTCTTCTTCTTCTTCTTCTTCTTCTTCTTCTTCTTCTTCTTCTTCTCTGACTTATGGCAACCCCATAGGGCTTTCAAGGCAAGAGACATTCAGACGTGGTTTGCTATTGTCTGCCTCCTCATAGTGACCCTGGACTTCCTTGGTGGTCTCCCATCCAAATAATGACTAGGGCCAATCCTGCTCAGGTTCTAAGATCCGATGAAACTGGGCTAGCCTGGGCTATCCCGGTCAGGGTGTTAACTTCCATAGGCAAGATTTCAGCACATGTTTAATGCTTCCCTTGGAGTCAGTGGGTTTAAAAATGCATAACTTTGACTATGTCTTCAGGCATGCTATTTATCAATAACGTTATTGTTATTCTTTATTTTATTTTATTTACAATATTTGTAGTCTGCCTTTCTCATTGAGACTCAAAGTGGATTGCACAGTGTAAGTCAATGCAGTCAGGAGAAAGGGGCATCCAATAAGCAATGAAACAGGACTAGGGCTGCAGGAATTATAACCGAGTGAAAATCTGGACCAATCTGAAACAAAGCATAAGTATTAAGGCATATTTTATGATACAGAAATTACATAATAGGATGACACATACAGCAGCAGATAGTACATACAGTATACAGTAGTATAGTCTACAGTCTCTTCCCCTTGATTAAGAAGGCAGTCTTCCTGAATCATTCCATTATAATTCTATGTTTGTAAAAATGCCCTCCGGAATAATTCAGTTTTGCATAGTTTGTGAAATGCCAGGACAGTATGAACCTTCCTGATCTCATCAGCGGGCCATTCCACAAGGTGGGGGGCACAACAGAGAATGCAGGTGTACAGGCAGTTCTTGATCTTGCCCCTTAGCATCTGGAGAAGGCCCTGCTCAGACGTCCCACCAGAGCATAGAGGGAGAGATGGCCCCACAGATATGCGAGTCCAAGGCCATAAAGGGCCTTGTATGTGATGGCCTATGCATTGAACTTGGTCACTGAGAATGTCAACTCAGTGTGTGACTACAATAAAAAAGGCAAATGCTGTACTGGGGATTATTAGGAAGAGGAATCAGCCAGTATCATAATGCCCCTGTATAAATCTATGGTGCAGCCTCGTTTGGAATATTATGTACAGTTCTGGTCACTAGACGGCAAAAAGATATTATAGCACTGGAAAAGGTGCAGAAAAGGGCAACTAAAAGGGGATGGAACACCTTCCCTATGAAGAAAGGCTAAAGAGGTCAGGGCTCTTTAGCTTGGAGAAATGGCAACTGGGGTGGCATGATAAGAGGTTTACAAAATTATGCCTGGGATACAGAAGGGAGAGAAAGAAGTTATTTTCTCCCTTTCTCACAATACAAGAACTTGTGGGCACTCAATGAAATTGCTGAGTGGTTGGGTTAGAAGAGATAACAGGAAGTACTTCTTCACCCAAAGATTAATTAACCTGTGGAATTCACTGCTGCAAAAAGTAGTGGTGGCTACAAGCATAGACAGCTTCAAGAGGGGACTGAATAAACATGGAATGGAACAGAGGTCAGTTGGTGGGTGTTAGCCACAAGGTATAGCTGGAACACTCTGTCTGGGACAGTGATGCTCTGTATTCTTGTTGTTTGAGGGGCAACAGTGGGAGGGCGTCTGGACCTCCTGATGGCACCTGGGTTTTGGCCAGTGTGTGACACAGAGTGTTGAATGGACCATTGGCCTGATCCAACATGACTTCTCTTATGTTCTTATGTTCTTATGTTCTTAACTGATGGATGGCCAATGGAATGACTGCAGAATGAGGCTAATATGAATGGGCTGCCTAGGTCCTGATAATAACAAAGCTGTGGCTTTCTGCCCCAAATGGAGTCTCCAAGATGACTTTGATGAGAGACCCATATGGAGTGGATTACAGTAGTTTAGTCTTGATGTTACCATGGCATGGGTGCAGGTGGTCAGATTAGCTGAGTCATCATCTTCTGGGCTAAACTAAATTTGTAGAAAGTGGGTTGGGTTTGTTTTTTTTTGCAGCTGCATTAGCTTGTTTTACTGCTGGATCCAGTATTACTGCTGGAACTAGTATAAACCTTAGGTTCTTATGCAAGTCCACATAAGGTCAGCTGAATTCTATCAAAAGTGGGGATCACAATGTTCTTCAAGATCTCTGCTTTCCCAACCAGCATTACCTCTGTCTTTCCAGAATTTAGTTTCAATTTGTTCACTCTTGGCTTTTTAACTACAGTGAGCAGGCAGCAATTCAGGACCTCTACCACATCAGCAAGAGATTTAGATAAGGAGATATAGAGCTTGATGTCATCAGCATATTGATGACAGCCAACCCCAAAACTACGAATGATTAGTCCTAAGGACTATACATAGAATGTGAAGTGAATGGAGAATAATAGTATGACCTGTGGAATCCCACATGATAGGTGTCAACTGGTTTCTGAAGGCAACCCTTCTGAGTTTGGTCTGTGAGGAATTATCTCCAGTATATTCTCCAGTATACCCCCCAGGAGAGTGTCACGCTCTTCACAGGACAACTTGCTGGTTGCCCCTGACCCTAGAGACATCCAGCTGTCCTTAACCAGTGCTAGGGCCTTCTTGGCCCTGGCCCCAACCTGGTGGTGCTCTCTGCCAAATAACATCAGGGCTTTGTGGGATCTCATGCAATTTCTCATGGCCTGTAAGGCAGAGATGTTCCAACAGGCATTTGGTTGAGGACAGTGATGGCTTACATCATGGCAGGCACCCTTTCCAGATCTCTGTCCCCTGAAGGATCTAATTTCCTCCCCCCATATACCCACGAGGCACCCACAGGCCAAAAATGGGAGGGAGCCACAAAATTTCACCACTTGATTTTAATTAGTGAACTATATGTTTTGATCATGGCTTTTATGGCTTCTATTGTTTTAAATCTGTACATCGCCTAGAGCCCCACAGTTGTGGGGATTAGGCAATTCAAAAATGCAAATAAATAAATAAATAAATACGTGAACCAGTTTAGAGCACATCCCTTCATAGTGACTTCTGTCTCCAAATGTCTCAGCAAGATGGCATGGTCCACTGTAACAAAGGCCGCAGATAAGCAACAAAGAAATGTGGCCTTTGTCGACATTCAGCTGGAGGTCACCAAAGCCTACAGAGCTGTCTCTGTCCCATAGCCTAGCCTGAAGCCAGACTGAAAAGGGTCCAGAGCAAATGATTTATCCAAGAAGACCTCAAGTTGGTCAGCTACTTCTTTCTCAGTCACTTTGCCAGGAAATGGTAGATTAAAGACTAGGGGATTATTGGCCACATCATTTTTCTGTAGGGATTTCTTTTGAAGTAGTGGACAGATTACTTCTGTGAGTAGCTGATGGAAGTTACCCTGAGCTAGTAGTGACACATTTTTGATGGACATCAAGGGCTTGTTGATGTGGTCCTTGGTTTGTTTTAGCAGCCAGGATGGGAAAAGATCCAGGGCACCAGTAGTAGCCATCTCAGATCCCAGGACCCTGTCAACACCCATTATGGTAATCAGGTCAAAATAGTCCACAAACAGACCAGATGATGCATTATACATTTCTTCTGACTGACCTATGTTACAACTAGCATCCAGATCAGTGTGTATATGAAATATTTCATTGGCAAAAAACTTGGCAAAGGTATCACGACTAATTTTTGTCCCTGAGTCAATAAAGGCTCAGATTCAGGAGTCAGCAGATGCTGAGATACCTTAAACAACAGGGATTGTTGTCAACTAGCTGATGCAATGGGAGCAGAGAAGCGGCATTCTTGTCACTGCTGTTTTGTAGGTCACCAGTGGGCTCTATAGCACATGCTGTTACATTCACTGCAAGTTTTCTGCCAGAGCCATTGTAAGTGTCTCCTACTCTCTTCAGGTCACCCAGCTCTATAATAAACCAGGGAGCCTGTTTCCACCCAAAGGACAGAAGGGGTTGACAAGGGGCAAACTTGTTGGTATTGTTCTTGTCATTTCCCTCTAGCCACAAAATTCATGACTGACTGCTTATCACAAAAGGGCAGAAGAAGGCACCTTCAGATCAGGTGGGGACTTCAGCATACCCAAGGGGACTTATAGGAGACAAATACTAGTTTTACATTTTTTAAAAAAAAATAAGAAGAATCTTCTCTTAAAAAAAATAAGAAGAATCTTCTCTTAAGCAGACTAAAGATGACTGAGCCTTTTCATTGCTCTCACTGATGACAGCAGTTGAGAGTCAGCTCTGTGTGTGTGTGTGTGTGTGTGTGTGTGTGTGTGTAAAGTGTTGTCAAGTCACAGCTGACTTATGGCAACCCCAGCAAGGGGCTTTCAAGGCAAGTGGGAAGCAGAGACAGTTTGCCACTGCCTTCCTCGGCAGAGCCTTCCTTGGTGGTCTCCCTTCCAAGTACTGACCATGCTTAGCTTCTGATATCTGATGAGATCAGCCTATACTAGGCTGCCTTCCCTCCCTGAAAGTCAGCTAAAGAGGGGAACAACCCAGAGAGAGAGAGATGCTAAAATCTACCTCCTCGACTGCATAAGAGCTGATAACATTCTGGAAGGGGAGACTGGAGTTGGAAACAGATTTTCTTTTAGTT